GACCCTTCATCTGATGAAGGGTCTAGGCCCGAAACGTCAGCCTCTCTGCTCCTATGATGCTGCTTGGCCTGCTGTGTTCATCCAGCCCTGCACCTTGTTGTCTCGGATTCTCCAGCATCTGCAGTTCCTACTATCTCTGGTCTATAGTTACCTGCTTTTTGTCTACTTCCTTTTTTAAACAGTGGCGTCACATTGGCTGTTTTCCAATCTGCGGGAACCACCCCAGAGTCCAGTGAATTTTGGTAAATAATTACTAGTGCATTTGCTATTTCCCCCATCACCTCTTTTAGTACCCTGGGATGCATTTCATCAGGGCCAGGAGACTTGTCTACCTTTAGCCCCGTTAGCTGGCCCAGCACTGCCTCCTTAGTGATAATGATAGTTTCTAGGAGGAAGTTAAGACCAGAAGTTGTGTAGCTGGAAGACTTAAGGGAGAACTGGGGGCAGAAGGTGTTGGGACAAGGGCATGGGCACGGACACAGACATGGACATGAGCACAGGCACGGGCACAGGCACAGACACGGACACGGACACGGACACAGGCACAGGCACGGACATGGGCACAGACAAGGACACAGACACGGGCACGGGCACGGGCACGGACACGGTCACGGACACGGGCATGGACACGGGCACAGACATGGACACGGGCACGGGCACGGGCACGGACACGGGCACAGGCACAAAGAATTACTACAACAGGACTCAGTTATCAGACTCCCCACAAAAATGTCAATCTTCTGCTTATCTGTCAGAACAGAATTAGAATTCAGAAACCATGATTAGGTGAAAAGGTGAGAGATTTTACCAATGACAGACCGAACTGGAAGGAGTATAAGATAGCACATGGCGCCACTGATCTAGTATCAGCCAATGAGGTGCCTGTGGTTATGTTTTATGACCTGTTTTATTTGAAGTATCATTTGCCTGTTCATGTGTATCACATTTGTGTTGGTTTTGATTCATGTTAAACACTGGAATCTTGCTGATTTGCTTTTTCTCATTCAGGGGCTCTGTTTGGTTATTGCCCCGAGCGATCATGGTCCCATGTCCTTCTGATGTCGGGGAACAGACGTGTTTGTTGGGACAGAGTGAAAGGGCATTTCTATTTTGAAGAAACAATTCTGAATGTGATTTGCCCCCACTGCCCCAACCTCCCCAGCACAGCCCCCCGGCCACACTGCCTCATCACAACTAACAATCTTGGCCCATCGATAGTGGTCCACGGTTTGGATCTCCCTGCAGGCTGACACTGTGAATCTCTGCTCGGAGAGTTGTGAGAGATCTCAAACCAGTGAGGCAGCGTTTAGTCCTCATTATTACATTGGTATTCCGATACAGCTCACTGCAATTTGTGCAATTTATGTTTAATAGAAAACAACAGCGATGACACACAGGCAAACCAGAGTGATGGAAAGCTTACCTCCAGTGTGGTAGGAGAGAAAGGGCTGGGGGATAGATGGGGGCTAAAACTGTCAGATCCATTGAATCGAGGCAGTGACCAGTTTGGCTGGTGGCTCTGTGAGGAGACAAAGAGAAAGGGACGGTTAATGAGGCTGTGTGCAGAACGTCACTCAGTAAGCTCAGTCTCTCCGAAACCAGGTGAATCAAAAACTTTAATAATCCATAACATCAAGCTGTGGTACAGTCACACTCCCACCTGACATGTGGCTGTGGTACAGT